GGTGTTATGGCAGGGGCACAGCGTGACAACATCCTCCACTGTAATTCCACCCATTCTAATATTTCTTAGCTGGGCCGGCTTTTGCATGGCTTGGACACGTTTCGCCAAGTTTTATTATCGCTAATTACAGTATGATACTTGGCCTACGTGGCCATGGGGCTCTAGACAAAGGTGAGGTCGGCTGTTGATCCGTTTGCATTGGATGCTCAATCGATTAGACATCAGTGTGGGGCCACTACATTTCCTTAGCATGTTACCATAACCATCTGTTGCTATTCGGGTTGTGGTCGAGCCAGCAGTTATAATCGAGATTTCAAGCATGGCTAATTGTCGTCGAGAATCAAGGAAGCACCTCATTCATCTTGAGAGATTGACTTTCATATACTCCTATATGACTATCATCAAGAAATAACAAGCAGATTATTAGTTAAGCTATACATCTACAATAACACTTGTAGTCCATCTGAGCACGATCCATACGAAAGATGGAACATAAAACAAAAAGGAAATTGATGAGCTACCATTTCTAGGGAAAAAGGTATATTTGGTATAGTTTGTAAGCTACTTCTCGCAAAAAAACTGAAAGTATAAACTAAATGATACATTTTTTTTATAGTTTTCTAGCAATGCTCCTCTCAACAACCCAAAATGTGGAAGTTGGATAAAAACAACTTATTTTGATCATACTTTGTCTCCATTTGTATAACTTGGGAAACACTTTACCTGACACGTACTACCAAAGGGCCAAAGCATACTATTTTTAGCAAGATGTGGACTCTAGGCTCAGTTGCTCTAAAGCGTTCATGTCCATTTGTTAAACTAGTTCTAAAAAACCATAGTGTGAATCTCCATCTATTTCATCCGTCGTTACTATTACGTTTTATATTGTGGTCCAGCTCTTTAGGATATTTGTATATTGTACTTGCGAATAATGATAATTATTTGTAAGTCTAGTTTCAAGGGTTAAAAATTAGAAGGCACCTATCAACAGGAACTTAAATTGTGAACGACCACTAAAAAATTGTGGGTCAGGTGCATGAGTATCATGTGCATAAAGCATCATATAAAGATCAAAATCTGAAATAGAATAAGTTAGAACCCTGAAAAGTCTAGCACTATTGTGTTCATACTTCAGACGGATAGTCCGGCCGTTCGTTCCACCATAGCCATCCATACGTAGCCTAGTCGATCAAGGACCGTTCAGAAGAAATCCGTCCGACACGACAGGCAGTCCGTCCGGACATGAACATGAATAACTCTTGAGCTAACAACTACGCATTGCTTGTGGTCCCACTTGTCAACTGACGTGTGAAAGGGATCTATGGATAGCCACAGAGAGTGAATAGTGTAATTAATTTTTTTTACAAGACACAACACTAGGCAAACAAGTTAGACAAAAAAGTTAGCCCTAATAAGTACTCCCTCCATCCCAAATTGTAAGTCATTCCAAGAATCTTGGAGAGTCAAACTTTTTCAAGTTTAACTAAAATTATAGAGAGAAACACAAAGATTGATGACATCAAATAGGTATAATATGAAAATATAACTAATAAAGAATCTAATGATACTTATTTGGTATGATAAATATTATTATTTTGTTATATAAATTTGATCAAACTTGAAAAACTTTGACTCTCCAAGATTCTTGGAATGACAAAAAAGTTAGCCCTAATAAGTACTATACTAGTATGACCTTGCACGGACTACACAATTTTAGTATTGAAAAAAACAACTTACCTAAGTCACTAGAAATGGTAAAATATCTAAGTAAACACCCTAGGATGACAAAATCTAATATATCTACACTATGAATTGAAGAGATCAAAGTAAAACGCAAGTGTAGAGTGAGCAAACCACACAAGAGGATGATACAAAGATGTATCCATGTGGTTTGGTGACTTGCCGGTCATCTACGCCCATGTTTAGGCAAGTCCAAGGATCTCCACTCCTTAAAGGACCTTGATGTTGCTGAGAGGGGGTGGAAGTCCTTTTCAAAATTTAACAACAAACAAAGCTTCACAACAGATTAGCAGAGTGCGAAACTTCCGCGCTCAGACGCAGAAAGCACGAAGACATGGAACCTCCGCACAACATAGAGAAGCTCCAATAATAAGTATGCCTAGAGTTCTAGCTCAAACCAAACTTGAAAAGGTGTTTGGAGATATCCAGTAGCAAGTCCACGAAGTACCTACACTCACAAACATGTACAACCCACTAGATCGAGTGGAAAGCAAATATAGCAATTCAAAACAAGTGGTGAGCTCAAGTCGCAACAACAAGAGGCAAGACACAAGATTTACCCTGAGGTTCAACAGAGCCACCAAGGCTTGCCTATGTTCTCTTTTTTTAGGGAGCTACAAAGGCTTAGAGTCTCTTCCAAGGCTTGCTCTCAAATGCTCTCCAACTCTTAATCTCTCAACCAACACTTTAATCACACACTAATCGCTCACTCTCACAAAGAGAGAGGGGTTGGTGAGAGCTTCACAAGGCTTTGGAATGTGTTTAGAATGACCATATAAGGATGGCAACGGGGCGGATTCGGATCGGGTGGAGTCTCTGTGCACCCGAACCCGAAACCCGAAACCGCACCGAACACCGATTCGGGTGATAATCCGTCCCCAAAACCGAACCCGCGGATACCCGAAACCCGAATGGATACCCGAAACCCGCTTTGTATGGCAACATAGTAAGAGAAATAATGACTTTTTATAAACATATGCATGATATATATACACATATTCACATGTATAAACAAGAGGCAACAAATAATAAATATTTTCATGAGTCAACTTCGAATAAATTTAATAATATAAGTAAATAAGTTATTATTAGCATATTATAAAATATGAGTTTTAATTCCAAATGATTTATTTCGGATATTCATTGGATATCCACGGGTGGAAAACCAAACCCGAAACCGAACCTGATTGGTTTCGGGGCCCCGAACCCAAAAACCGTGGGTAAGAAATCATCCCCGAACCCGAACCCGCAAGACCCGAAACCGCCCCATTGCCATCCTTGTGACCATGGCACCACCACACCACCAGGGCGTGCACCCTACGAGAACTAGCCGTTAGAGCTCAAAATTAGCCGTTATAGCCGTCTAGAATGCAAAAGTTTCCCATCTGATCGTGAAACTTCCGCATCCTGAGCACAACAGGCCTTATGAAAAATGCTATAACTTTTTACTTCGAATTTTATTTTCGATGATCTTGAACTTTTCAGAAAGCTTATTCTAAATGTTATTCAACCCAACCAAGAACAAGCCCCAAGATCAACAGGTTGTCTCTTCGAAGACATCCGATAAAAAAGATCAATATATTCAAGTGTTGTGCAATTGTTTCTCTCGTGGTTAGCACTCAGGGTTCGGTTAGTTTGAGCACTTGAGACTTGTATAACTAATCATGATGCATCCCCCTTGATAGTACGACATACATATACTCAAGATCAAAAAATATATCTATTTTAACTACTTGAGTCTTTAGTGTCCTTATATGCCATATCTTCTCAGTATATCTTTCATAAGGGTTGCAACCATCTTTGTCTCAATCATTTAAGCACATCAACCTTGAGCTTGTGACTTGAACCATTTCAACACCTGAAAGTTCTATTCATGGCTTCAAGTCACTTCGACTTATGATCCAACAATGATTTGATCTTTCACATACTGACTCCTCATAGCTTGATTAGTATCTTGACTTAATGCAAGTACTCTCTTCTTCACCCTAGTCATGGTACCTTGGTCGCCAAGCCGTTGCTTGCCATCCACCTTCGCTTAGTATCTCAAAGCCATTTTCTTGTTATCTTCGTCCTATCGAGCTATCCTCAAGTCACATCATATCTTAAACCAACATTAAGCATCATTTGAAAAATCCATCTCTTTTGACCACATATTTTGATCAACATTAATATAGTCAAGCTAATTCACGATCGATAACCACAATGTGAGTTTTCTTCAATGCTGAAACAGATGAAGCAACGGGTAGTAACGCTATGAGTCTGTGACTACCGATGCTAACTTCAAATTCACATGACCCGAACCCAATGCATGTTCGTTCCTCGGCACTTAACAATAAAATATTGTATTCGGCGCTTGAAATAGATGAACGGTTGGGGTCCACATACAAGAAAGTATTGGTGTTGACAGTGAGGTCCTGTTTGATCATAAAATTAACAACTAGTTGATTAATGTTTAGTCTCTAAACATTCAAATAGATGGACTAATCGTTAGTCGACTAGTCATAAACTAGTTGTTAGTTCACTGATCCACTTATAGGAGCTAACAGAACTGGTTCCTAGTCATCAAGCAGGCGCCGAGTGTAGAGGAGTTAAGCAATTGATATTTTTTCATCACCGCTAACACTGTAGACAATCTTAGAACACTCTTACAGTTCAACCCTGAGTTCCTCGTGGCTATCAAAAGCTGAATGCTAGGTGGGGCACAGGGCCACAGACCCATAGGGGTACTCCCGTCAACTCCTGACTGTTCACGGGCTGAGGTCCCGTTTAGATTCAAAATTTGTTGGGGTTTCACTACTGTAGTATTTTCGTTTATATTTGATAATTAATGTTTAATTATGGACTAATTAGGTTTGAAAGTTTTGTCTCGCGATTTCTCATCCAACTGTGCAATTAGTTTTTTTTTTGTCTACATTTAGTACTCCATGTGCCACAAAATTCGATGTGATGAATACTGCGCAAAATTTTTTGAGTTTTTGTTTATATTTAGTACTCCATACATATACCGTAAAATTTAATGTGATAAATACTACCCAAAATTTTTTGGGTTTTGGAGAAACTAAACAGGCCCTGAAGCGAAAATTCAGCCCCAACCAGGCCGGCGACGGACGCCTCCTTGTTCTCCACGCCGCCGACGCTGCGTGGGCTAGGCTGACTTGACCAATCTCGACCTATCGATCTTGCTGCCCCGACCACGGAAGGAGCCTCCTGCAGTGTGACTCCGGTCGACCACGAAGCCTCGATCTGCTCGTCCCTGCACGATGAGGCTACTCGTCATCCTGTTCGCCGCGGCGGCCCTCGCGGTCGCTACCACCGCGCACGAGCACCATGGCGAGGCGCCCACCTGCGCCGGAGGCAGCGGGCACGTGCTCGCGGAGTTCCGCCCCGGGGAGGTGACCGTGGACGGGCACAGCGACGACTGGGACAGCGTCGAGGCCTCGGAGTTCGCGCTGCTGCCGGCGCTCGATCCAGACGAAGATAAGGCCTACCCAGGCGGCAAGGTCGCCGTAAAGGTTCGCCTCTTCCAGGCTCTCTTCTTCGTTGTCTTCTCTTTCTCTTCCTCTCCCCCATAGCGAAACATGTGGATCACGAGAAGTTAAGCTGATCGCAATTAGATTCAGAACCGACTGTTGTCGAAATGGGGTCCGATAAGCCGAATAATGGACTTTTAGCATATTGCTGTTTGGAGAAGCAAAATATTAGATTTATCTGGAATAGCTAGCTAGATGATCGAGTTCAGTTTTCTACTGATACTTTGAAACCTTGATGTTTCCGAAGTGGTGCTTTATTAACTTCGGAAGTTGGCTGTGCAGGCTGTGCATGATGGTGTCAACGTCTTCTTCTTGCTTCAGGTTGATGGGGCTTACGCTTACACTAAAGGGTACTTTCGCCTTCTTTCTGTGTTACTACATCTGTACCAGTGCGGATAGAGCGATAGTGGAGGTTGTAGTGCTCTTTATGGCCACTCTTTTAGTTCAGAGACGTTGGACAACCAATCAGCTACTCCTATATTGTTTTGATGCACAAATCCATCACGATCTGTTTGTCCTTTAACTTTGACATTCAGTTGATGGGAGGCCTATAGATTTATACATGGTCCTCGATTGTTCTGTTAAATAGTACTAGTATCATAACAGCTTTTCTTATCGTGTTGGTCTTCTTTAAGGCCTGATTGTGTTTTAACTGGATTGAGTATACCCTGGCATGACAACCCCCCACCCATTGCCTTGGTCTTCTTTAAGGCATGTTGCTGGTTTGATTTGATTGATTGTGCCTTATGAGAACGATTTCATTCTCAAAGTGGATTTTAGCCTTCCACTATTAATTTAAACATTGCTTTTGGTTCACCTGTTCATGAACACAGGGAAAGTAACAAATGCCCTTCTGTTGCTCTGATGTTCCAAGTTGGAGAGAAAGCCACATTTTACAATGTAAGTTTGGGTTGCTTCCAGCTATGAACCATTACAAGTGTAATTTCATGCATGCATTGAGCTTTTTTTTTATCATTATTATGTATAATAGCTCCTTTTTGTATTTCTGGACAATGCCTTTTGTACTCTTTCTTATTGATTATTGTATAATGTATGCCAAACATTATACTGTTTGGCCTTTTTAGATGGGAGGATGCAAAGATGTGCCAAGTTCATGCACAAGTAAAAGTTGTAGAGGTCATGAGGTTGACATTATGCACTTCTCAATTGGAAATGCTATTCCTGGACGACTTTACGGTGGCAATCACATAGATAATGCAGCTGGGAATGGAAACGACAGGTAACTATGTTCTACTTTGCTGCATGATGGTCGTGTACTTATGTATTGTATGAATAGAAACTTATGGTTAGAGTATTTCTTTATTTAGATTTGGTCACCTTGTTGATGTCTATGCATGGAATCCACATTGCCGATACCTTGATGGAGTGGGCCCTAAAGGTAGACATGCTTATAAAATTCAGAAATCATCATGTATGGATTATATGTTTGGTTATTTTCCTACTAACCTTTTTTTTTATTGAACTTTGTTTGGGACAAAACTTGTTTCAGAGAACAATTCAATGCTCAAAATGATTGGCATGGGGTTTGGTGGCACAGTTCACTTACCGTCCATTCAGGCATACCATCAGACTCATTTCTCTTTTATCTTTACTTCATACTTGGTTTGGTTATGAATTCTAAAGAACATAGCATATGGAGATCATCTTCTGAGAGTTCACAACTTGAGTTTGCATGCTTTAATCTTCTTAATGCCCCTTTTCTCCAACTGCATATATATTTTTAAAACAAGCAATGGACTTCCACTGCAACAATATGGAAACATAAGCTCTCGACAATGTAACTTGGCTAGTCATCAGTATACCTTAATTGAAAGTTGATCAAATGGCAAATACATGCAAGTTAAATTTATTATCTAATGGCTATTTGAAATCTTCTTCCAGGCTTCGTTGATGATGATAATCCTTATGGAAAACAAGATGAGAAGGGCACATATTATTTTGAGTTTTCAAGACCCTTAAGAACAAGGGATCAATTTCAGCAGGTACTTATCCACTAACACATTACATTCAAGATACTGCGGTATGAGTGCCTGCACTATCATATTTCAGTTAGTTAATGGCAACTTAAATCATTAATCTGTATATAAACTGCGTGAAGCAACATTAACACAATTTTCTTAGTAGACAACACATATTCTGGATGAATTCCTAGTTATCTGGTCTCTACTGTGATGCAACCATGCCATTATCAATCTGTGGAACTGTTAAGGTACACAACCAAAAGAAAAACAGGCATCTTGTGCCCAGGGTGCTTTGACAAATCCACCTCATCTGTACTTATGATGGGCCGATGTGACCTATTTCAAAAAATGTGAACTGACTGACATGATACCTTCTGATATATCAATTTAACCTGCTTGAAGTTTTATGTTTTACTGTATTTACCCTAACCAAATATAGTAATCAAATGCTCCTTTGGCGATGCAGGACGCACAGTTCACAATAGGACATCCCAGCAATATGGCCGTAGCCTTTTGGTACCCAACTGATGGCAAAGCATGGAGCAACTCCGATCATTACTCAGCAAGCTGTAACTGGTTGGTTTTGGATATACAACCTTCATCAGAAGCTGCATATTACCGTCCAGCTCCTAATCGCTCTTGGGATGCTGCAACTGCCTTTGCTTTACTTCTTTCAGTGGTAGCCATTTGCATCTCCATCTTTCTGGGCTACCGGTTTTCTAGGAACAGGAGCACTGCCCAGTTTACACCACTTGAACAGATCCAGTTTGCTGAAGAACGCCATTGATTGGAATTGAGATTAGGCGAAGCAGCAAGCAACACTGTTTCACCATTGTACCTCCAAAGTCGACAGATTGCTGCATTGCAGTTTTGAACCGGGTTGTTGTGATCTAGTATAGGACATATTGAAAGCATACACAATACAGAATTACAGACTGCCGATTTTTATTGTAGGAAACAAGTTCTGTAAATGCTGTACATCAACTCTGGGTTATTGGCTTACTGCGCCACTTGATATCACTCTAGATTCTACCTGTGCACATGATTGTGATGGTTGTTCCATTGGTTGTATAATATTTGAATATATCTAAATTTGGTTCAAATGCTGAAGTAAACTTTTCCCTAGAATAACGCTGGTTTGTTGAAAGATCTTCCCCGTCCCCGTAGAATCACTCAAGGAGCGTAGAACAAAGCAGTTAATTCGAGCATATTTTTAGTAATTTAATTTAACAAACAAGCAACTAAATTGAGTTCAAATCAGGTCTAAAATTTTGAAAGGGGGCACGCTCTGAATCCATTCAATTTCACGAAAAATCTGCAGAATGCTGTAGCATTTACCCGAGCCCAAAATATCTGAGTGAATGCGGCCCGTCACCCGTGAGAAGTTTGAGAGAACGCCCCACACTACTTCAGGTCCCATCGCCAATCTGTGCGCCCACTTGCCTGGCCCTGAATGCCTCCGCAAGTTCTAGGGTTTTAGGTTTCACGCAGCGGCGGTCCAAGGTTTTTGCGCGGCCTTCGTCGGCGCGCCACCAATGGCTTAGCAGCTAGTGCCTCACCCGTGCTCCCTCTGCTGCTGCGCCGCTCCATGGCTGACTCATTGGACGCTGCCGCCGCCGTCGCGGTATCCGCCAACGACAACAATGTCGACGACGTCGAGGACCTTTACGCGGACCTCGACGAGCAGGTCGCCGCCGCCGCAGGGGAGAGTGGCGGCTCAAACGCGAGGGATTCCGACCCGGTCACCGACGGCGAGGGGGAGGTCCCAGAGCCCGACGCGAACGAGGCGGTGGATTTGGGCGACGGGACTGAGGGCTACAGCAGCAGCGACGAGGAGAGCGATGATGGCCTCCGCATCGAGCTGAACGAGGACACCAGCGCGCCACTGCCGCCGCCCCCTGTGGGGCGCGGCGAGGGATGCGTGGATGAGGTGTGATTGTGTGAAGGGTTCATCTGTTAACGATGGCGGCTGGGCAACGGTATATTCTTGAATTGGCTGAATTATTGGTTTTATTAAGATTCCGTATTGGTGCTGTAGTGCGAAATTGGAGTATTAATAGATGCAGTTAATTCAGGGGAGGCTCTAGATACTCTGGTGCTGTGACACATTGCATGTACTAGCCATTGCTGTCCGCGTTTCACAGGTGATGCGTTTGGTATAGAATTTTTTGAGAAATATGGCTCATATGTCTAATATGTTTTCTTATCGTGTTGGTACGAAAGATTGGTTTCAATATTGTAAACAAACATAGAGGTTGATTGTCATTACATGGTATCTATTTTAGGCCAGCAAATCAATGACATGTTAGTGGAAAGAAGTATTTGATGGAGCTAGGGCTCAAGCAACTAACACACTTAGATTTAAAGCACAACATTGGCTAAGATTACATTATAGATGAAAACAGCAAAAACTACAACACAAGTACTTCTCCTAACGCGAGGGTTTACAAAAGAGTGAATTAGGATCCACTCTCCTTAGGCGAAACTACAACACATTTCGTAAATCTGGAATTACACGAAAGATTACACGGTGTTGAACACTAAATTACACTGAGATTTAAAGTTACATGGTTAAGAGCAACCTAGCACAACTAAGGCTTACTCTAAAAGTCGGGATAGACGAGGACAATGGAGAAACAACAAGATAATGATTATCCAAAACATGACGTATGACCAACAGATCCAGAAACAGGAGACTAAGAAGTCAAACATCATGAACCCTAAGACCAAACTAACCAACGGTAGACTTGAACTTCTTCGAAAACCAGATCCCTTATTCTTATATTACACCATCACCTCAGTCAGACGAAATAAGGACTGGATCTTGTAGCTCTGCTTCGGATTCGAGAATGATGGGGATGAAGAAGAAGAGCAAGGACCAAGGGCATCTTATAGTGACGAACGAAGATGGGGCGCAGCGCATCGAAAGTGAAGACAGTATGGATGGGATACGCTGCTGGTCCACGCTGTGGAGATACAGCCGGCCATAGCGCGCTCCCTGCTCAAGCGAGCGGAGGGGGTAATAAAGGAGAGGAGTGAGGGTTCGCTCGACGAGGGAGGCGTGCGGGTGGTCGTGTCCCCAAAAGAAGAAAGAAAGGAGGGGGTCTGGTACGGGGACGAGGGCGAGGATCAAGAGCAGACCGAAGGCCAGAAAAAGGAGAAGCGTACAGTGCACGAGGACGGTGAGTGCGGCACGATGTCGAGGCCATACGAGGACAGGGTGCTAATGGGCTCGACACCGACAGCATCCGAGGGGCACGCGGTGACAGCGACCTGGTGTGCGTAGCGTGGTCGAGCTGGGCATAGTGCCTGGGATTTGACATCCACTCAGGCTTTTCTAAGCATTCCCTACTACCCAAGGCTAACTTTTCCTAGGTGTTCTTCTTTTCTTCCCTTCGTTGTCCACAATATGCGCCAAACTTTGTATGAAGTGAGATCGCAACATACATACTTCCTCCGAAACCACCTCCTCTTATTTACTTTGAGAGAATACTATTTCATCAACCCGTTGTGAATTTCTCGTTCAAACACCCGAATATTTGTATCAAAAGTGGTATGGCGGTGTAACTTGGTAAAGGTACTTGGTCAACAACATTGATACCAACGCGTGGCGAGCAGTGCCACCATGTGGCAGCTGTTCCACAGGGAGCCCTCGGTTTTATCACGACACCATAAGCTATTAACCAGGCAACTACTACCAACTTCATGGCTGGAAGGCAGTGGGGTCATAGACCACAGAACGAGGGGAGTATTGCAAGGGAAGATTCAAACAACAAGGGTTCCCTTCACAACAAGGGACAATGAATTCAAATCCAGCGACGGATTTGATTTAAAGAGATTCAAGTGTTCTACTGGGACATCCACAATTAATCGATACAACGTCCTATATTATCCAATCACGACTGGTTTGCTGATATCTGGATGGCAACTTCTCTTGTAACCCACCTACCATCGCCCTTGAAAACTCTAAGTACGTTTAACGGGAATTAAGTAGATGGATGCAATAAACACAGGGAAATAAACCAAATGCATATTCCAACGGTCTTATACAGGTACATCATACAGGCATCCAGTCTCCCATTCACGACACAACATTCAACTTCCCTACGACAGACGATCTCAACAGTACATACGAAAACAACGACAAGAGTACAATACCGGAAGACAGCGAAGAACAACACTACTATTACGGGTACAGCATCTCAAGGCAACTAATCTACTTGGAACTATGCATCTTCATTCCCGGGCTTGGTGGATTCTTTAATCGCCTTGGCTATGGATCTGCGTCTTCTCTTGGCGATGGCTGAGTGAGAGGAACCATCGTCTCTTAGCGATGGCTGAGTGAGAAGAATCAAGGGCTCTACTTCTGACACTTCCGAAGGTGGAGGTGCTGGCGGCACTGCAACACCGGTCCTTCTTCTTTCAGGCTGGTGGATAGGGATCCCTGTTAGATTTAGGGTTCTTATGTATGTTCATCGGATCGGTTTTCTTAGCACAGTAATAGATCAATCGGATTTCACAGAGAGAGATTGAGAGATAGGTGATAAGTAGCAAACCGTCAAATCGTCGTAGTTGTTGAAGCTCGGCCGGGTTTTCGTTGTTGGATGCCATCTGCATGCCGGCCGTAATGACGACAGTCGGTGGAGAGTGAGTCGGCGCGTGTGGCGTCCTCGGCGGCGATGTGAGAACGCGGGTGGCGTTGCGGTGTCGATGGCACTTCCGTCATTTGCACCTACTTTTTCGATCGGGTCTAGGGTTAGGATGTCGGTGGGGTGTCACGGCGCGGTGAACCTCATATCGCGAGCCCCGCCCCCACCTTCCTTTATAGCTTTGTCGACGGGGCCCACCAACCATGTAGGGTTGGGCGCCCCCGATCGAAGCTGAGATAAGGCCCATTAGGCCGTTGGGCTAAACGGTGGGAGATCAATACTAACATTCTCCCCTTGATCTCTCATCTATTCTTCGTTCTTTAATTTCATACTCAAAACTTTCAATTCATATTTTCTTGCTTCCATCCTATTTCATCACAGTTTAGTGCATAGAACTCATCCCCATCGTCACAACAATTAGTGCCGTTAGACTAACGACCACAATACAATTCTCCGTTTTGAAATGTAAACTTTCTTTGGGCCCTTCAGTATGTTCGGGAATCATAGGCTTTCCCTTAAACCCATGCCGCTCGTGTTCTCTGAACACGTTGGGTGGTAAGCCCTTAATGAGCGGATCCATGAGCATTTTCTCTGTGCTTATGTGCTCAAGATTTATTATATATGATCCCGAACTTTATCTTTCACAACATAGTACTTTATGTCAATGTGTTTGGCAGCACCACTTGACCTATTGTTGTGAGCGTCTTGTCTGCACCGGATTGTTATCACAATACAATCGCAGTGGGTTCATTTATATCATCAATCACTTTCAATCCGGGTATGAATTTCTTGACCAGTTCACCTGCCCGTTGCCTCATAGCATGCTACAAACTCGGCATACATTGTCGAGGATGCGATTCTGATTTGTTTGGAGCTTTTCCACGATATAGCCCCTCCTGCGAGAGTAAATATATATCCTGACGTGGATTTTCTTTCTTCTCCCTCATAATCGTCTCAATACCCCTCTATCTGCAGGGAATCGGATCTTCTATACGTAAGCATGAGGCCTTTCGTACCACATAAATAACGCAGGGACTTTCTTCACTAATTTCCAATGTTCAATTCTGGATTCTTTTGATATCTCGCCAAGTAACCCGGTAACAAAAGCTAAGTCGGCGTGTACACACTTGAGCATATTTGTAAACTTCCACAATTTGAAGCATACTGGTACCGCTTTCATTCGATCAATTTCATATTGGTTCTTGGGACATTGATGTTCCCCAAATCTATCGCCCTTGACTATAGGAGCGGTGAAGGACTGCATTTATGCATACTAAATTTCTTGGGACCTTTTCTATGTATGCCTTTTATGATAATCCTAGAACCCCTTTTCTCCTGTCTCGGTGAATCTCTATTCCCAAAACGAACGAGGCCTCACCAAGATCTTTCATATCAAAGTTTGAGGACAAGAATTTCTTCGTTTCCATTAGTAGATTGATATCACTACTAGCAAGCAAGATATCATCCACATATAAAATTAGGAATATGTACTTTCCATTCTTGAACTTTGCATAAACATAAGTGTCCTCAACATTTTCTTCAAACCCAAAACCTTTTATCGTTCTATCAAACTTCAAATACCACTTGTCTTGAAGCTTGCTTCAATCCGTAGATTGATTTCTTGAGCGACATCCCATATTTTCCTTTCCTTTTACGACAAAACTTTTCGGTTGTGCCATATAAACATTTTCTTCCAAATCCCCATTTAGGAAAGCCGTCTTTACATCCATTTGATGTAACTCCAAATCATAGTGGGCTACAAGTGCCATTATAATTCTGAAGGAATCTTTACATGAGACTGAAGAAAACGTCTCATTGTAATCAATCCCTTCTCTTTGCGTGAAGCCTTTCGCCACAAGTCGCGCTTTAAATCTTTCTATATTCCTTGGGAGTCATATTTCGTTTTGTAGACCCATTTACAGCCTACTGTTTTGGCTCCTTTAGGAATATTTTCTAAGTCCCAAACTTTATTGGTACTCATTGATTTCAATTCATCTTCCATGGCCTTAAGCCACTTTGATGAGTGGTCGCTTCTCATGGCTTCTTCAAATGAGGTGGGATCATCCCCCATCTGACATTCTTCTGTTTCATAAACTTCATAGTCATCGGTAATAGCTGATCTTCTTATTCTTTGAGACCTTCTAGGTGCCTCCGGCACTTGTTCCACATTTGGTGTTGTTGTTCTTCCTCATGTGCATCATTTGGTTCTATAGGTTCCTCAAGGATAGGTTCCTCAAGGACAGGTTCCTCATGTTCATTCATTGTCGCCACGGAGAACTTGCAACAA